CAAAAAATCATCCACTTTGTGCAAAAAATCATCCACTTTGTGGATGATTTAGCGTTTAGCTTTTATAGCGTTTATGATTAGCGTTAAATTTAGCGTTAAATTTCTAGTATTATACATGAATAAATACAGTAGATTAATTTTAGTAAAGGCACAAATAAAGCTCTTTGTAAAAATATGARATGATTACTAGTGTTGCATCATAAAGATAAACAGTTTCTCAGCTCCTGTTTTATCTGTTATAATTTCATCACTGTGGTGTTTAGATACACAGACCCTGACTTTGTKGTTTCTTCGTTTCCAGCACTACCTGACCTGTTTCAGTGGAACCATCGCTGTTCCCTTCCTCCTCTCCGAGGCCATGTGCGTCGGCTTTGACCAGTGGGCCACCAGCCAGCTCATAGGGACCATCTTCTTCTGCGTGGGGATCACCACCCTGCTGCAGACCACACTGGGCTGCAGGTACCAGCACACACATTTAAAGAGCGTGTTCACACTTAAATTGGTGTTTTCTCCTTTGTCATCATGAAGKACCAATGAGTGAAAGGTCTTTGAACACAAAAGTTCCTCTTTTGCAACCATAGGTTCTGTGTCACTGCTCACTGTATGAACACAAAATATGAAAACATCTTTATGTTCCTGGTTTTGTTCATGTGACTGCTGTTGTCTCATAAGACCAAGGYGTCCTCTTTTAAGAGGAAGAGAAAGTAAACTAAAAAGTCATTTACTCTTGTATAGCCGAGAACTTGAAAGTAAAAAAAATTCCAACAGGTGTGATTTAGCAGCACATGMTGAAGTTATTTCTGGGCGAGGGAGAAGAACTTGGGCGTTATTGAAACCACTAGTTTTAGTCGATGAGAAGTTCTTTGGATGACCTACTTTGACAAGTAAACACATGTCAGAAATGATTCATGTGACCCAATTCTCACAGTTCTGTTGATCTCACTTGTTTTTATTTGCAATTATGCATTTTTCAGTTTGTGCAACCTCAACAGTTGTTATTCTCCTTTCTTGCTGACACAAACACATTGTTGACATGCAACAGTTCTTCATGGCAGCTTGTGTGTCGTGATGACGCTTCCTGAGCTGATTGTCTTTCCTTGTTTTTAGGTTGCCTTTGTTTCAGGCGAGCGCGTTTGCATTCCTTGCGCCGGCCAGAGCCATCCTGTCGCTGGACAAATGGAAGTGTAACGGCACAGGTGACTCATTTATCCCTCTGTCTCCTAATATCTTGGTATATAAAGTGTGATTAGTCAGTATTTCTTTACGACTGATTCTAAACACACTCATTAAATTAGTAAAATTTCATTGGTCTGTGTTGGTAAATTTCAAGTTTCATCATTAATKWCTCTGTTTTTGTTTTTTWTCATGAGCAGATCGTCCACTTCTGAACGGGACYGAGCTCCTTCATACGGAGCACATCTGGCACCCCAGGATACGGGAGGTGAGACGGACAGACACTCGTGGAGATGTGATAATTTAAAAATCCCTTTCCACTGTAAAACGTMTCCTTGTTGAAAGTTTCCTTTGATAAACGGATCTAGATGCCATTTAATTAAATCTGTCCCTGTGGGTTTGGCTCGGTTTGACAGATGCGGTTAATTTGCGTTAACCTTTCTGTCTTGCGTAAGCCGTTTCGGTAAYTGTTCTTTATGTGACGTGAATGAGTATGTATCGGACCAAATCAGATTTTAAAATGGGTTGAGGGGCAGATGTGGACGTACCTGTGATAAAGACAACTTAATAGGATTATCGACTAGAAGATCGATTCTGTTATCACGTCTCACCCAACCATGATGATGACAGCTTGTGGTCAATTTTGATTTATAATGTGATTCACGTTTTGTTTGGTTAAGAGAGAGGTTGTACAAGGTGTCCAGCTTGTTGCTAGAAGATGTTGTAGTGACTTGTTCGTGAAAAGCAAATCCTAATTAGGAATGAGTCAGAAATTATGAGTCTGCTGGCTTTATTGTTTTTTTTTTCTTTTAGATCCAAGGTGCGATCATTGTTTCCTCCCTGATTGAGGTGGTCATTGGAGCTCTAGGCCTGCCTGGGATGCTGTTGAAGTACATTGGGCCCCTGACGATCACCCCCACTGTGGCCCTCATCGGGTTGTCAGGTTTCCAGGCTGCAGGCGAGAGGGCTGGCAAACACTGGGGCATTGCTATGCTGTAAGTAACTTTCATTCAAAGAGCTGCATGTTTAAATATCAAAGATTATTTTAAGCAACATTGCACCAAAACAAAAAAACATCTTTGATTTTTTTTTGTGTGTGTGTTAGAGAGAGGGAAAGAAAATAGTCAGGTGCTGCAGCTAGCTGTTCAGTGTTCAACATCATTTTTGTCTACAAGAAAGCTGAAATTAAAACCACTGAAACTGCCAGAAATAAAACAATCTGTAACAAATTCTCCATTTGTTCATGAGGAAATGTTGAGCAGATGCATTTTCTGAAACGGGTGGGAGTTTTAGTCTAATTTTGGATGTGCTGCATGGCAGATATTGATGATTCGGAAAATAGATTTTCAAATGTCAAAAATCAATTGTGTTAATGTTGATCTCTGCGACCGCAGAAAATCAGCAGGGCAGTTGCCACAGTTACTGTTTTTCCATCTTTTCTTTGCAGAAGCCTGATGATTATATCTGTAGGTAGTAGCTGAAGTTATAACATGCATGTCTTTAGTTATATGTTTGATTTGTGTATGTATTTACAGTACATGATGCTATTAACATTAGTTTTTTACAATATTTTTAATGTTAAATTAGCCTGTTAAGCTTACCAACGGCCTCCTTGTATTTATTCACAAGCCTAATAATCGCAGATAAATGAGACTCATYGATTATCATTTTCTAATTGCATCGCAGCACTTTGAATTGTTATCGAATCAGAATGTTCCAAAAGTTCCCCACCCCTCGTCTAAACTAGTGTTTGAGTCATTGTAAAGTTTTGTCCACAATTAGGATTATTATAAATACTTTTTTTTTTCCAACGAGAACGTTCCAGAATGAGAACAGTTTAGATGATGAAGCCTGTAAAGCTACAAAGAACTGACTAATCCAGGCAGCTGGGATATTAAGGTGGTGTGACATCAGGTCCTGCTGTGTCATGCTCGTTTGCTGAAGGGCCTCTCCACAGGGACAGAGGATATGTGCCTGTAATTGCCACCGATTTCTCAGGCAGTTAAGATAATTGATTAGTTCTGAAACCTCTGGAGGCCCGGTGCGACACATTCAGGCTAAATCTAAATGGACCATCTTCAGGCAGGACTTCTATTTCTCTCACAGGGAAATAAGTAGAGAAATTAAAAAGACGCTGCTTTCTGACTGCGATCCACAACGCTGAGGAAAATCTTTCCTGTCTGCAGGACTATCTTCTTGGTGCTGCTCTTCTCTCAATACGCCAGGAACGTTCAATTCCCCCTGCCGATCTACAAAGCCAAGAAAGGCTGGACCTCCTATCGCCTGCAGGTTTTCAAAATGTTTCCTGTGAGTTTCAGCTTTGTTCTTTTCACACAAACCGTGTCTAAAATCCTCCTTTCTTCTCYTCTTAACATCTCTCTCTCCGGTGAAGAATTTACTTTGATTAATTTAAAGTTGTGTTCCCAGACAAACGCAGTTATTCAACAAAGCTAATCTCATTGTCCCCGKGAGGTGTGTGTAAATCAGTCTGTTTCTACCCTCTGCAGGTCAAATAATTAAAAACACCACTGTTCCCTATCTAACTAATTTATATGTCTCATAAAAACACCTCTCAGTGCTCATGTGCTCTCCATTAAAGATGTAACACTTTTAAACCTGTAGTCTTCTGCAGAAAATGTGTTTTTTGTCTTTAAAGTAAATTTTATGCCACCTTCCACTTGTGTAGCTGGGTAACAGAGTTGTTTGACCAAATTAAAACTTGATTTTAACATTTCCTTTTATTGCACCCAGATCATAATGGCCATCCTGGTGTCTTGGTTCCTGTGTTTCATTTTCACTGTGACGGACGTTTTCCCGCCGGAGAAGGACAAGTATGGTTTCTACGCTCGGACAGACGCACGTCAAGGAATCCTCACAGTTGCACCGTGGTTTAAGATCCCTTATCCCTGTATGTATTATGATGATGATGATGAGGAAAAATGTTGCTGGAGATATTTTGCCTTGACTCCACAAACCTGCTTTAATTAAGAATAATGACAGATCCAGGAATAATCTGTTCATAATGTTTCAACAAAAAGTAATAAATTCAGGGTTTAATCTGATGYGATATGCTGTCAGCTTGGGACATGATGTAACATCAGAGCAAACATTTCCTTTTTAGTTTTGTTTTTGCAGCTTTTCTCCAGTCCCTTCTTCTCTAAGACTGCTTTAACCCTACTGTTGTGACTCAGTAATTAAATTAATGTAAATTAAATCAGAGCAAGTTGTTGCTCTCTTATCCACAGATTAATGCAACGTTTTGTAGCAAAGATCAACAAGTGGTTCTCAACTTTCTTTCTGGACAAAATGTCATCTTTTACATGAAGTTATTTCCCCTTGAGAGCTTACCACCAMTTAAATATAGAACCTCTAATTTGTTCTTCAGAACTATAAAACTATTGAAAAGAGTTTGGTGTTAAATGCAAAACAGCAAAGCTGTAGTTGTGATTTTCCACGTTAGRTTGAGTGCAGATAAAGTTGGGAATGCCGGTTAATTCAGCTCTGAGTTCCAGCTGTGATTTCATATCTGAATGGCTTTAAAATSTACACAAATTTCAGCATGTTGATGTCTTCATACTGTTACCAGCTGTATGATTGTCGTCCTGTTTTACCTTCAGTCCAGTGGGGCGCTCCCACTGTAACGGCTGCAGGTGTGATYGGCATGCTGAGCGCGGTGGTGGCCAGCATCATCGAGTCAATCGGAGACTACTATGCCTGTGCTCGTCTCTCATGTGCTCCTCCACCTCCCATTCATGCCATCAACAGGTAGGTCATCAGCACCTGATCATGACATATCTCMGGGTTCATGCCGGGTCTTAAAAAGTCTAAAGGCCTAAAAAAAATCTTTTAAAAACCCAGATTTTCATTCAAGGTCTTAAATTTAATTTTGTCAAGTCTTAATTTTTTTTTATTTTTGGTCATTCCTGAGAAGCGTTGGCTGCATAAATAAACAGAGTAAAGAGCTGTAATCAGAGATTGACGCGATCTGTCTTCATGAAGTGCTAAGTTTGCTACCGGTCTTTATACGTATTAAACCACAAACCCTGTAATAACTGCAGACAAAAAATGGCACAGTTTGCTTCCAAAAAAAAAAAGTTTAGTCATGTCCACTACTTGTTTAAACACGGGAAAGTGTGTTTTCAATGAGACTGGGCTGATATCAGTGACTTTTGCTCTCTGTTGGAAGCGGTCCACAGCAGTCGATATAAAGGTCTCATTGATATGACTGATTCATTAAAATCATTTAATGTTCTTTTATTATTAAGATTTAAATGTTCTTTTATATGTAAATTGATAACAATTAAAGGTTTCCATGGTAAAATTTCTGGACCATTTGAATGTTTCTGTTAATATTTCGTTTTGGTCTTAAATGTCAGTCATAATGGTCTTAAAAGGTCTTAAATTTAACTTAGTGAAACCTGCATGAACCCTGGTATGTCCTGGGCGTTGTGCTGTAGATGTGTTAGTTATGCTCCTCCTCTGTCTCTTTAGGGGGATATTTGTAGAAGGTATCTCCTGTGTGCTGGATGGTGTTTTTGGGACGGGAAATGGATCCACGTCCTCCAGTCCAAATATAGGTGTTCTTGGAATCACAAAGGTAAAACACTTGTTCTTTTAAATGATAGAATCATTGTTTTGTTTGTAAGAGTACAGCTATTGTCACTTGATCACAGTATGATGTCATAGCAGCCTCAACAATGCCTAATAAAAGTTTTCTTCCCTCTGATTGGTCCTTCAGGTGGGCAGCAGGCGTGTGATCCAGTACGGCGCCGCCATGATGCTGCTGCTGGGCCTCGTGGGTAAATTCAGCGCCCTGTTCGCCTCCCTGCCCGACCCCGTTTTAGGAGCTCTGTTCTGCACCTTGTTTGGAATGATCACAGCCGTGGGACTGTCCAACCTGCAGTTCGTCGACCTCAACTCCTCCAGGAACCTCTTCGTTTTAGGTTTCTCCATCTTCTTTGGTCTGATGCTGCCGAGCTACCTCAAACAGAACCCGCTGGTCACCGGTGAGTCCCGGAGAACCTTCCCCCACAAGGAGACWATCTTATAGAGATTTTAAAAAGAAGTTAAGCTTTTATTGTTAACAGAGCCGAGTAGAGTAAAATTGTGCACCTTATGTTTTTAAATAAAGTTTATCAAAATCGTAGCTCTTCATTCTTCTGGTGGAAATACTTGAATTGTTTGAATTAACTTCAGGTCAGACTTTCAGGACTGACACAAACAGAATCAGGTTCTAATGTTTTTTTTTTCTCTCTCTTCAGGCATTGTTGAAATTGATCAAGTCCTAAATGTGCTGCTCACCACTGCCATGTTCGTAGGAGGTTGTGCTGCCTTTATTTTGGACAACACCATCCCTGGTAAGGTCTTTGCCACATTTATTCATGTTGAAGTTTACAAGTTATTCTAAACTGTATTGTTATTAAAATTATTACAGGATAATAGTAGTTTGAAGATTAAACTACTCAAAGGAATAAAACTGACATCAGTGTTTCTGTGGATGCTGAGCAGGTGCAGATTTTGTATAAAAAAAAGACCAAACTTGTCGGGTCAGTTATGATTCAGATTGTGAGGATCTGTCKGGGAGAACCAGAAGCTCGGAGGAGGTGACCTGAGTTAAACCCTGCTGTCATCCAAAGAGCCAACAGAGAACCGATAGGAGGACTTACTTTTCTATTTATCTTATAAAATAAAGTGCAGTCTTAAAGGGATCCATGATTAGTTGTAACATTAGACTTTATTTGGTAAACGTATTTTAACTGTAAAATAAAGACTGTAAAAATACTGTAGGATGTTTAGTTTTGTAAATTTTTAAAAATATATTTTAACACGGACATTTTATTTACACACTAAGCATTCTGGGTAAATGATGACATGGATAGTTTCTCAGTGTGAGTGAGCTATATCCACCCTGAAGGTTAATCTTGGACAATATCTGACGATCGACTCTTTTAAATGAAACCAGAGAGCGTTGACWGAGAGGAGAAGGTAGAAATGACTCAGCCTGTAACTGAAAATATAGATGGAGGACAACAGAGCTGCTTCATGGAAGAACAACCTCAGCTTAGCCTGTTAGCCTTCGCGCTAGCGCATATGCTATATTGCCTTATATGTATCCTTATATGTATTAGCTTGATGCTAGCGCGACAAAAAGCTAAACTGAGGTCCTCCATCCATATTTTCAGTTACAGCTGAGTCATTTTTGTGTTCCCCTCTCTGTCATGTGGATGGAGGACCTCAGTGACGAGAGAACATGTAGCGCTGAGCTAATACATATATGTGGTGATAGCATCGGGGCTAACGCTAAAGCTACCAGGCTAAGCTGAGGTTCTTCTTCCATGAAACAGCTCTGTTGTCCTCCATCCATATTTTCAGTTACAGGCTGAGTCATTTCTACCTTCTCCTCTCTGTCAACRCTCTCTGGTTTCATTTAAAAGAGCCCATCGTCAGATATTGTCCAAGATTAACCTTCAGGGTGGATATAGCTCGCTAGCAGCCTCGCACCGATGACCTATCCATGTCATTTACCCAGAATGCTTTGCATGTAAATAAAATGGCCCCGTCCGTGTAATTTATTTTTAAACTTTTAGTTTAACAATTTAAAAAAACAGAACAGCCTACGGTATTTTTACAGTCTTTATTTTACAGTTAAAATAAATGTTTATTAAATAAAGTCTAATGTTACAACTAATCAKGGATYCCTTTAACTAAYAAAATAATTAAAAATAATGATTTTGCAGTGGCAGCAGCTATCAGAATGAGAGTGTTGACTTGGCAGGAAGGTTACAGAGGCCTCTAYTCAGGTGGATCTGTATCAGTTTGAGTTTTACTTTTTGAATTCTAAGGACTTTCATATTGACCGTTGTGTGTAACCACAGGTTCCCTTGAAGAACGGGGCATCAAGAAGCTGAAACGTGGCGGTGGCCTCAGTTCGTCTGAGCTGGAGGGAATGAGATCCTACGACCTGCCGTTTGGCATGGACTTCTTTAAACGACATTCAGTTTTCAAGTACATCCCCATCAGCCCTGTGTTCACAGGCTACCACTGGGGGAGGCTACAAGAGAGGAGCAGAAAGGGACCTGGGGATGCGGTGAAGGGAGGAGGAGCAGGAGGGGAAGGAAGCAACAGACTTGGGGAGAGTGGGGTATAGCCGGCCATCTGCAGCAATTTTTTTTTCTTTTTTCCTTTTTCTTTTTCTTTCGATGTGGCTGAATTTGGGAGCAAGGGACGGTACACTAAGATAAAATGATGGGAGGATGGAACACGAACCCTGCGCAAAATTGTTTGAAGAGAATATTTTGCAGCAATGCCCCTGTCAGTATGTTTTCTTAGGCTTGTATCTTTTCCTGCTTCCCTCGATGCTGTTTTTAAGCATGCTGTAGTTAGTCACAGCATGTGTTAAACGACGTCACCATTCAGAGTTTAGCTGGTGCGTGTGTTTGTACTGTATGCAGCAAGAGAGCTTTAATTTACTTCCAGGAGGCAGTTTGGATGATCAAAGCTGAAAGTTTGATGATTCACGGACTCAAACTTGCTGCCAGCTTGTGTTCCCCACATTTCAGAGAAATACCTTCTACTACAAGCACAGTGGAGGATATTTGTTATGCAACCACATTGGAGATATACACGCACACACACCGACAGCCTTGGTAGAACTAGCTTAAAGAGCTACGATGCACGATACGGGGTCATGCAGGCTAGTGGRAGTAGTTTGTCAGGTGCCCTTAGCAATGCAAAGTGATTGTGAGATTTGTTTTTGCACTATCTGCCTCCTGATTTCAAAACTAGAATGTCGCTTCACAGCTTTTCCTCTTTTTAATTTTTTTTTTTTCCACTGCAGTCTTCCTTTAAGGTGGTATCTCACTGGGCTGCGACAAACTGATGAACAGTTTTTGCATGAAAGGCTTCAAAATGTCCTGTTTTTGTTTTTTCCATAAAATAATCAAAGTTTTTGCAGTTGTTTAAACCCTTCTGGTCCTCTCCAACCCATATCTCTTTTATTTTAAATCGTAAACCATGGGGCGGTTTTAAAGGTGTGTTTGAAGCAGCCGCCTTAACAGTTCTTTGAAATAATGTGCGCAGCCTGTTAGAAGCTGTGTACCTGAAAATAGGCTGTCATTTTTAACGGCCTCGTCTCATTGAGATACCACCTTTTTGAAGCACATCACRTCCCTTCACTCTTAAATTAACTCGTTTTGTTAATGTTCAKAAAATATCCCAAAAGGATCACCAGTTTACATCTCCTCACCGTGTCGATATTACTGCACGTTACCAACGATGAAAGCACTCAGCTTTCTGCTAAATGAGAGAAGCTTTTAAAACGTGTCTGCGACGCAGCGTGTGTATAAAAGCACAGGAACAGATGTGGCCGTCATTAAGGAGGCTTTGCTCACAGAAGGCTTGAAATGGTTWAACAATAACGGCAACGTTGATTTCTCTCTGCGCGGTGACTGCAGAGGTTTCTGATCTTCTGTCCGGGGTTTCGTCTCAAAGCTTTTACTTGTCACTTTTGCTCCTCGTCAGCAGTAATCTCCTGCTATCCCAGCTTACTCTGTGTTTCCGTCAGTCAGGTTTTAGCTGAACAGTAGTTAGGATGGTGGTATTTTTTTGAGGTAAAAGGTCTTTGTTTCCTTCTCGACGTCACAACTGTAGCTGTTTTCACTGCCGATGACGTTCCTCCCTCATTCACGCTGCTGTAATTTAACTGCTGGTAATATGTCTGATGTTAGCACCACCGTGATGTTTTTTTTTAATCTGCACCTTATGCGCCGAGGTGTGACCCTACTGAGGTAATCTGACCACACTGTGTGCCTCTGCTGCTTTTAACTGAAACACAGACAGAAAAAGTCCTCAAAAATGTTGATCCTATTTTACGAAACCAAAATACTAAAAAAAATGTTTTTGTATTTTGCTGTCATGTTACACAAAACCAAAACTTTAAACAGATTTGTTTCTACTATAGCCTTCCCTACTCATCTCCTGTTAAAGCTATTTATTTATTTATAAAATCATTAACTTTTTTATTTTGCAGCAAGTTTATTCGTTCCAGCGTGGGACAGTGTTAAATTATATTTATCAGTTTACATTTTTATGTCCTGTATAGACTTGTGTATTACTGATTTGCTGCTTTTCAGCTAACAGGCTCGGCATGTTTTTAAGCAACTCTGAGGGGCTTTTTGGTAAAGATTACTTCTATTCCATTCCATTTCTGCTGTACAAAGTTGTGGTTAAAAGCAAGAAGTAAAGACTTCAAATGTTCAACTAATTTATTAGTTCAGATTTCAGAGTCAGGGCCTTTTTACTGCAACTAATTGCACATAAGATGGTGCCAAGAAAATCAGGGTTCAGGTGGGTAAAAACCTGGATCCTAAAATAGTCTCATTAGTGTTACTGTTTTTGTTTACTGATCAGAATACAAGCTGTTTGTCTTTGTTGGCTTTATATATTTTTCTTGTATTTAGTTTCYGATTGTCTATATAGTATACATTATTCACTTACTTTTTCTGGTTTTCTTCCTTGTTATCCAGTAAATCACATTTCATAAAAGCTATTTTATTTAAAGCTGAAGCAAAAATCCAACATTTGCACAAACTTGGATTATCTTTTAATAGATTTGGTCTTAACTCTTGTGTTTTGAATTTGGTTTTCAGAGTCCTCACAATTTCATTTAAATTTAAAGTTAATGCAAATAATTTGTTTAATTTTTTGCATTTTGTGTAACTATCATAGCCTAACTGATCCTTTTAAAAAAGTAAATCATTGGTGCTAAGCTTGAATACAGTGTCTGCTACGGCTAAAACATGCGTTCATCACAAACCATCAAAGACCTAACATTCCTTGATTGGGTGCATATTGCCCAAATCACTTGGAGGTGGTTTGATGACATTACTCACATATTTTCATCACTGTTTTTRTACTGTTTTATTGAAATGTCCACTGTTATTTAAGATCCAGCAGGCTGGAATTTAAACACATTTAAATATTCACAGTAACTACTCAGATTGTCAAAATTGCAGCTGAATTTGAGACAAATTTATATGAATCAAAACACATTAAAGTAACAAGCTTTTGTATGACTAAAAGTTCACATTGATTTAATCAGTGTAAATGTTGGATTTTAACTTTAGTCTTATCAAATATTAATTAAAATGTGGTCCATCACATTGAATCAGAGATAAAGTTAGATTAGGTCAGAATAGATTTAGCTCATTTCTGGCTTTTTCAGACTATCTTGATGTCATTAGCAGATCCAGATAAATTGCTTGATTTGACCCCTGGAAACTTAGTCTGATTCCTATTTTTAGTGTATTTAAATGAGGATTTATTTTAAAGAGAAAACCCCAAACTATTTGGATATCTGGATTTCTCTGCTGATTGACAATAGCTTCAGAGAAATTTATGACTTCTGTGCCTAAAATCATTGTTGGTTGTTGGTAGTGCTCAGAAAATGCTTCAAACATTATTTAGGATTATATTTAAAACATTTCCTTCAAGTGAGCCATAAATAAGGATTTCGTTATCTTTTGACAGCATCAAATTATCACAAATACTTCAACCAGTTGGTGCGTAAATACAGTACTTATAACTTAATTCTTGGTTTAATGTGACGGGTCTGAAATAAAACGATCCTAGATAAGATGGAAGAAACTTTTCCACACTGCTACTGCTGTCATCGTCTTATACATCCTCTCAGAGATGAAGGTGGTGCTGTTTTATATTTTTTATCTTTTTGCACACTTTGTGACCCTGTTATATGCAGCCTTTCCCACCACATTGTCCCTCCTCTCGTTGCTCTGTTTCACCCCCTCCTCAGTGGTCGTTTATAGCTGTTGGTGTACCTGGTTCTCTCCCTTGGACTTTTGACTCTTCATGTTTCTGGAAGCAGGAGGAAAACACCTGCTGGTCACCTTCCTAAGAGCCTGCTGTTTGTTGGCAGCTGAGTGCACCCTTATTATCCCTTATTATCCCATAACGTCACAACAGACATGAATCATCTTTGTGCCTAAAAGCAGCTTCCTGTTGACTCGACRGTCCCAACTCAAGTTTTTAATCTAWTTTACGTGTTGTTACAGAGGTAGCCCAGTTACAGTCAAATCTAATGGTTTTTCTGACATTTTAGGTCAGTTAAACTCTTGGCTCTTAAGAAGGTAACCATAAGGTGTGTAACACGATGACGTTGATCCCTTTCAGTTATTTTGAAGGGGAACTCTACCTGAAGATTATACTTCTGTGTAAAGTGTTTTTATGTTTTTTATGCATCATTTTTGTTTTTGCAAGCAGAAATTTGAAAGAAAAATCTACTTTTATTCTTAAATCATGCTGGAAAATGCACCACTTTGTTGTATTTTTTTATTTAAAAGTTTAATACATTTTTTTTATTATTTGAGATTAGATTAAATACTTTATCTGTTGGACCTTTATTTAGTTTTAGTTTTATTTTAACATTGTTTTTTGTTTATGTAACACAGTACCAGTATGATTCAAAGAACAAGCTAAGAAACTTTAAATAAATGTAAAAAAAACAATAAAACTTGTATATTTAATGTTGCTGAACACTCTGGAAGATCAACTGTGTAAACTAACTGTAACATTGAGATGATTTATTCTTTGTTCTTATATTTAATAAGATGTTACGCAATGAATTCAGTTTTTTGTCTGTTTATTTTTTGTTTTGTTTATTTATTTATTTGTTTATTTTGAGTTGCCAATGCATCTAGTGATGATTATTTTATGTTTAATTCATCAGTAAGGGAAGATTATAAATCAAAGTGTAAAAATGATAATTAACCAGCAGGGGGCGACACTAGCTGCAGATTTAAGTGTGTTAGTAAATTACTTTATTAGTTTATTAAACATTACAGGAATAGTTTTGTACTGGTGATTTGATTATTTTGCGCATTTTTAATTCACTGGATGTGCAAAGATAAAAAAAAAAAGTAACAAAATAAAATCTGACTCAGGTCACTTTYATATGTGGTAATTTGAAAGTGACCAGAATCAGATTTAGAGACAGAAATATGGGTCACAAAAATCATATTTTGGCTACAGTGTGGCATAAATGGACTTCCATAAAGTTATTGTTTGGAAGCAGTCTCTTGTTATCACGTGACCATAACAAACTTCGTGACCTACATTTACTAGTAGGAAGTTTGGTTATTATTCATAATGCAACAGAATATTCATAAACTGAGGCGCGCGCTCCCTCCTCCTCCTCCTCCTCCTCCTCCATTGTTGTCACGGTTTCATTCATCTCCGCGTGCAGCGCGAACAAAGGCTCGTCGATCCCGCCCTCTGATTGGCTGTCAGCGACTCTCCTCTACAGCGAGCCACAACAGATGGACCTCTGGCTTCCTCCTCCTCCTCCACCTCCTCCTCCTTCTTCTTCTTCTTCTTCTTCTTCTTCTACAGCTCCTGTGGAGACACAGTCAGCCGCACGCGCCCTACTTGAGATCGACGTTTTACGAAGACGGAGGACCGAGGAAAAAACACGACGGGTGAGCCATAAAAAATAAAAGATTCCCCAAAGTCTCCGAGATTAAAACACGGCGGTCGGTGAAGCTAAAGTCGGGTTATCGTGGTGATTTTTTGGAGRAGGCTCGAGGGAGAGAGAGCGAAATATAAATCAGGCTCAACCGCTGCTCAAAACGAGCCAAAATGTTGGCAAAACCCGTTTCATATTTGACATAAATGCGTTTTTATCACACACACAGCTGTATTTTAGTAAAAACCGGTTACATAAGTCTATCATCACAGCAGTTTCTACAGAGAGGCTGTGCCCAAAAAAGGTGAAGGCTGTTGCTTTTAATCCAGATGAAATGCAACCATCCTTCATTTACWGGGATTATTTAAGCAAATCTTTCATTTACAATAGGTGTGATGGTTTAAATGTCAAGACACAAAATWATCAGAGTTCATAGTGATCAAAACATGTCTTGGCAAAGTTGTGCAAATTTGAAAAATTCAAAATTAACTTTCACAGAAAGAAAACAAACGAAAGGCCTTGTGTTCTTGGAGRAATCACTTGATATCTATGTTATGTTGAGAAAGCTGTGGTCAGACCTTGAAAATGTTGTTTTACACAATCCTACGCCCTGTCACATTAACGTTTACAATGTGAAAGAGGTTCAGCCATTGACACGTTAACTTTTAGCTCAATATCTGTAAAATTAACTGCGTTATAACCATTTTTGTGTGTTTGCTACTGTCGATCAGCTGTGACAGCGTTTACTTATCAGTTATTTACTGGAAGTTTCATTAAAATTCATCCAGTGTTTGACGTATTAATTGGCCAATGAACAGAACAAGACATAAAATAATATATGTTTATAATATTGTAATCAAAGTGTGTGTAAGGGATAATACTTAGCTACCACAACACCAAATTTTAACAATGTCAAATTAAGTGAGTTATAACCATTTATGTGTTTCCTCAGGTCAATTGACTGACAGCCAACTTAAATTAAGATGACTCCTAATAGTTATTTTCTAAGAGTTAAGTTTTTAAAGTGCCTGTGACATGCATATCCATGAAATACAAAAAGTCAAAGAAAATATATTTATATTTAAGAAACTTGGCATAATACATATGATTTTACTTGTTATGTCACATAATTTGCACGTTTTCTTTTGAATTTGGCTCAGCTAAAGTGAAACAGGAAGTGACATCAAAGGGGAACTCTTTTAGAAAGGGAACTCCCCAGTTTTTGTTTATTTAATCAATATTATTTGAACTAGATGAGTCTTTCTCATCTCTATGATAGTGATTCAAATGATCTAAAGAAACATCAGGTTCTTCTCTACTGTATAATCTGTGTTGTCGGCCTTTGTAGCAACGCAGACATTCCCCTTTGACATCACTWCCTGTTACTTCACATGCTAATATCTCAACACCTGTTCATCTCAGTGGCRTGAAATTTTTTACAACATATTATCATTATCTTTTCAAAAATACGTTCATATTTATTACAAAAATTTGATGTCACAGGCACTTTAAAGCAGATCCATGTCAGTTTCTGCTCAACCTATATGTTGAGAGTGACTCTCGGCTACTAACACACCAAATTTTAGCTCAATATTTGCAAAATTGGTCATAGACACGTGCAAAAAAAGACCACAATAAACCATCTTCAGGGATGATTCTGGATCTGGACCATCTTATGTGGATTCCAGTCGAGCCTTGTGGTTATTTTAACAATCCTAGTAAAGAGCAGGAAAGACGACTATTTTTGGCTCAGATTTAGTGGCCCAGTTGTTGGAGATTACTTGTTTTTTTTTCTTGACGTTGCTATGACAATAGTGACAATAGTGAGGCAGAGCAGGAGTAGTGCAGAGGGGAGGTGTTGTGTGGGAGAGGACAGGAGGAGGTCGGGAGCTTTTTTTTAAGCCAAGACATTGATAGAGGAGGTTTGGAGGCAGGAGGGCAGAAAACAAGGAGGCGTCTGTGTGTCAAAGAAAGAGGCGAGGATGGAAGTTGTGGTCCAGAGTTTTAATTGTGCGTTGAATGGTTTCTGTGTTTTCACAAGGAGAGCTGGCTGAAAAAGTCAGTTTTTTTAATGAACACATAAATTGGATTTTTATAATCGGAGTTACTGTGGGTCAAAACAACAAAGCAGATGACGCTGAGCGAGGCGCAGGAGGAGAAGATTGTCTCGTGCTGTGATGGGACTCAGGGGAGTTCAGGCGCTCAATGAATTCTGCTTTCGGAGCGTTTTCTTTGACGTGGAGCAGAACTGGGTCAGACATAGGTCAGTCTGCCTCCTTTATTATTGTTGGCTCAAAGAGAAGCAAGGACGTCTGAATGATATTAACTCAAGCCGTCCACAGAGTCGTTTTAACTGATCAGTAATAAAGTTGTAATAAAGCACTTTTATCAATAATGAAAACTGCTTTTTAAGACCAGTTGAGTCAATTCTGCTGCAGCTGCATCACCATCGTTTTTACTTCATAGGTTTACAATAGGATTTTTTTTCATGCTTACCTAAAAGGATACAYTTTTTCCCTATTTTGCCTCCAAGTGTTGCTTTTACAGCTAAGAAAATATTTTTGCTTTGTCTCCAAATATCAACTGAAACAAAAGTGGGGTTATTTGCGCTCTTACAATATTAGTTTTATTGTGAAATAAGTCAGAGCTTTATCCTGTGATTTGATCAAAGCTTTCCTAAAAACAGAAAACACTTGGCGGTTAAAAACAGCAGCGTGGAAGCTGAAAAGTCTGATTAGATCGTTATCTCGGAGCACGTGGAACCAGTGGACTGGATCAGTTTTTTTGTTATCAGATGATGACAGCTTTGTTTTGGTTTGACAGCTGGTTACGTCTGTCTCAGACCGTTAATAAGTCTTTGACATTAATATGTGATACACGATATTAAAGGCTAATGACTGCCATTGTCTGGGTCAATAGTGAGCTTTTGGGTGCTTCGCGGGCCTAATATGGGTCCTGAAATATTGATGGATGTTGGCATGAGACTTGGCTGATTGGTGTTTAATATTTAATCTGTCCACACGTATGTCACAGATTGACAGCCTGGGGTTGTTTGAAGCTGCTCGTCAGGTTTGCGTCAGGTCTCAGGTGTGATTGCTGAACAAACGAGTCTTTGAAGTATCGTTTTTTACTAGGGCTGGGTATAATCGTATCGTGTGCAATTAATCGTCAGAAAAACATTAATCGATTACTTTTTGGCACTTGATACAATTAATGACACTAGGCAGACTGACTGGAGATTTCCCCGGTCAGTCTGCTTCAAATATGAGAAATATTTTTTAAAAAGTTATGTAATTTATTCAGTTTTTACTTGGTCTATCAACACAATTAAAAAAATAGATGTATAGCACGTGTCAAACACAAGGCCCGCGGGCCAAATGTGGCCCATGGGTGACTCCCGTGTGGCCCGCTGGGGGGGTGTACCCCCCAAAAAGAATTTTCTTTTTTTTTTTACTTAACATGAAAATTGTTTCTTATATCAATAGTAAACTTTAAATTTATGATTAAATGCAACAAAATTAATTTAAGAAAATAAATGACATAAACAAATTTAATAAATTCCTGTCCCTGAGCTGTTGGCTTGAAGTAACTGAGCACTTTAGTTGGATAGCACAGTACTAATGTCTGAAAATAAGCAGCTTTAAAGTCACCATCAAACATAAACTAAACCTGCCATAATGCAGCTACTCACTAGAAACTCATCAGTGAGTAAAACTTTATTTGTTTTACTTTTAATAATATTTCTGTATTTATTTCAGATTTAGTCTGTCATACACTTAGTTCTTATCAGTGTTTAAAAGAGGACATGTCTGTTTTGACTAAACACTGTTTAGTCAAATCTTTCCCACTTTAGTGATTTAAACTGGTCATGTGACCAGGACATGAGGGCGTCCAGGGACTCGTCAAATTAATCATTATCGGCTAAATACCACAATTAATCGTGATTAATTTTTTTTGCCAGTATTGCCCAACCCTATTTTTTACATCTCAAAGCTCTGTTTTTAGTGAGCAGTAATTCGTTCTTGCTGTTTGAATTGAGGAAGTTTCGGGCTGTGTCAGTGTTGGTGTCAGTTTCCTGTGTGACTTGAGTCGAGGAGGAAGTCATTTGACGGAAGGGGAGCACTTCCTTTTAAACACCCTCAGCTCTTTTACACTCGTTTGCCGTTACGCTCCAAAGACAAAGACCCTCGTGGGCTGTTTGAAGCGACCTCAGACCTAACGATACACACAAAACAAAACCTATTTATTATTTCTGCTCTTTCTCCACCCAGACCATCACCCTGGTGACTCAACAACAATCAACGCTCGTCACTACGGTAAGAGCAATTCAACTCTAACCACACACATTAGAGCCGTCTGCTTTTTGAACCCGGTTCACCAAACTAACATGTTTTAATGCTCTGATAGTTATTTTAGTTTRAACCAAAGTAACCAGCACTGCCTTTTATAAGTTTGTCCTCTTTACTTCCTAAAAACTCCAACGTGCACTGTCTACACGTTTGAGTTCAATTCAAATGTGTTTAACTAAAAAGTAAATAAATTACAAAAGAAATGTCGAGTGGATTTCAGTTTTTGAGACCTGAGTTTCTGCTTGTACAAATATGCCGTGTCTGTCAGCTGTGTGCTCAAAGATAAACGTTCAAGCAGCTGAGACATTCGAAGCAGCAGGTGGCTCATGTGTTTTGCAGCCGTTTATCCGGGTTTTTTTTTTTTCCGGAGGATTCTGTCCTGCCAAACTCACACTCAGTCACAGCTTTTAAACCGCTGCATGTGTGAATTAAACGTGTTAAAGGGAGACGTGTTGAAGAATTTTAAAACAAAGAAAATGCGAGGAGCAGCTGCTGCGTGACCCACAAAGTGTTCTGATCCTGTGGCACGCTATCAGATTTTTTTGAGAGAAATGGTTGACAGGAAAGTAGATTTAATCTCTTGTTTCTGTTTACGGTCTGGAGCTTTACTCCCTCCTCCTCTTCCTGCAGTCGTCTTCCTCCTCTTCAGACCGTCCTCTCTGTGTCTGCGCTCGCAGTTCGTCATGCRGAGTCATGAGACCAAATTCCTTGGATGAATCTTTAACTCTGTGCTCCTTCTTATTTATTTATTTATTTATTTTGTTTGTTTTGTTTCTCAGCTCCTCTCATGCTAACTGAGAATGGATGAGACTCGGGACGGGGTTCAGGTCGGAGAGAACAAGTTCATCAGCAAGTAAGACTCCRCAGTCATCATGTGAACTTATTCAAATCCCTGCATATAAATATTAAAGAAGTATTTATTAATACGTTTGTAAAAATAATCAGTTTATGAAATGTTTTTTTCAATACACCAGCTCTGTTATTGTTTTATCCTAAAGTTGTGTAAATCCAATACCTCAACGTCATTTCGTTCTGTTATCTCAAAGGATCGAAAGGCTTAAATTAAATTTTGGATCTGCTTGACCTTCTCTGCCGTGTTCTGTGAATAAAGTTAGCTATGATGTGTTTTATGACTCACAGTGAAATCGGTGACAGCTCTCTGAAAATAACATCCTTTTCTCTTTTTRTCTTCAGGGCAACGGTTCTCTCACATCTAAAAACATACAACCTTTATTACGAGGGACAGAATCTGCAGCTGCGGCACAGAGAAGTGAGTTTCTTTAATGTTTTGTTCTGAACCCACTCCTCCTTCCTCTTGRCCTTTTCTCTTTTACCCTTAATCTTTTGTAACATATTACACACATCCCATTACATCATCTAGTCCATAGGGGCAATAACTGTCCCTTCTGTCTGTCTGTGTGTGTCTGTGTGTGTGTGTGTATTGATTATAGTTTCTGTCTCCAAACAGGAAGAAGAGGAGCTGATCGTGGAGGGCTTGTTAAATATCTTTTGGGGCCTGAGGCGACCAATCAGGCTTCAGATGCAGGACGACCACGAGCGAATCCGACCGCCGCCTTCCTCCACGTCCTGGCACTCCGGTTGTAATCTGGACAGTCAGGGGTAAGTGAACCAGAAAGATCCGGTTTCACCTCCATGACCGGAAAGGACGATCTATAAGAGGTCATCGAGGGTAAATATAGATTCATGTCACATTTATWTTATTAGTGTTACTCTTTTATTAAAAGCATACAAAAAATGCTGTTCCTGAACAGGAAAGACTTTTATTTTAATCTGTAACAGAGTTTTGTGAGCTTGAAATCAAAATTTCAGCTYTAAGTTTTGATACACAGACCTTGTAGGCAGCACATTGTTTTTTTTATTATATTCATGAGAAAAAAATATCATAGTGACTCAGAAAATGGAGACAATAACTCAAAGTTTTTTGCTTTTCACTGACAGAATTTCTTAAAAATAAATAGACTTTTTAAACTTAGTGTGATTAGTTTGCGCTGTTCACAGTTTTGCCATGTTGCTGCTTTTGATTTTCATCTTTCYAAACTTTTCATTTTTGGTTTCCTTTCTCAGTTCCCCCAACAACTCAGAGGGTCAGCAGACAGCACAGRCTCCGCCCACTGTGGAGGTGACGCCACCTGACAGCAAACCTGAAGACGAGGATGTGACAGAAGAACACAGCGATGGTGAGACGCACCGAGGAGTACAACTTAGTGTTTATTAGACAGAATAAATCAGGACAGTTAATCTGCAGATGTTACGTAATCATGCTTAATTTATTACTAGTGTTTTATCGAACAAGAAAAAACTTTGTATCAAATATAATTTTTTAAGTTAAATATATAAATCAGTAAAAAAAATTGTGCTCACTAGAATCTAGATTTTGTTTGGTAGAACTTTATTATAATTCTTTTTGTTTTAAGTTGTGTTCTCATTTTCTTTGCGATTAAAGTCAACATTAACAAAACTAATAATTTGTATTTTATTGGGCAGAAGAAAATGAGAGCTCTGCTCAGCTTCTAAGGACGAAAAGCGACGCAGGAGTTTTGCGACGAGGTCAGCGGAGGACGCCGAGTGACCAGAGAAAAATCCGACGTCACAGATTCTCCATCAACGGTCACTTCTACAACCACAAGGTGGAGCCTTCAACAGAAAAACGAGCCCTATAACAAGAGTTCATTTTTTGCTTTTGAAGTGATGATTTCCCTGTTTAAATTTAAACTAATGTTATCTTAGCTTTAGCTTTGCACAGTTAGATATTTACACAGGAAGTGATGTGAAAAACAGAATCTGTTTTGTTTTTTTCCAGACAGCCGTGTTCACTCCGGCGTTCGGTTCGGTCACAAACGTCCGAATCAACAGCTGCATGACCACACCTCAGGTGCTGCGAGTTCTCCTCAACAAGTTCAAAATCGAGAACAGCCCAGATGATTTCGCGCTCTACCTCGTCCACACGAGTGGAGGTGAATGTGACTTACGTAGGATTCACACCTACACCTTCTTATAACAAGGTTATAAGGAAAGTATTTTTAGCAAGGATCTTTTTATTTTCAGTAAATATTCTTCCCGTGCAAAGTGAGTGGACACACAAAAGTGACTCTTAGTCAGCRAATTTTGATTTGGTCCCTAAATAAATGTGATCGTTTATTTTATATCAAACAAAATCACTACAGTACACTAAATTGTGAGCAATCAATTTCCTATAAAAAGTTTTAAAATCAATAACAATCCAGATCACGTCCGAACTTAATTGTTCATCAATTCAGCACTTAAAATAGACAGCAAATATCAAGCTTAGATGTTTAATACCAGACATTTGAAGGCAAATAACTTGGAGTTGGCAAGGCAAAGGCTTTAAGAGAAAAGGAGGAAGTAAGATGTTAGCTTTCCTAACTTTTAACTTAAAGAGGCAATATTATGTGTTTCTCAGGCATACATTTAAATACTATACCATAATAAAGTATCTATGTCACCATTAGTTGTTATTAAAATGCTGTTTTTATGTTTAAATAGAAAATAAACTTATCTTCTCATCACTTCCTCTTCTAAACGCCTTGAAATTGGCTTCTGTTTCTTTAAGAACCACCTTCCACTTCTGTCCCGTCGTCCATTTCGGTGCCCGGTGGGGTGCTGCCATGATGCAGCCCACTTGGCATCTGAAAATACATTTCCTCAAAGGTATTTTTAATCTGAAAAGAGCTTCAGTGAGTGAGAACTAATGTTTTAGAGCTCAGCAGACAGTTTCACTTTCACAGCCTGCAGGAGTCATGGTCGGGGTGTGGGGGGAGGGGAGGGGGGTGCTCTGCCATGAGGAAGTTTGGCTTAAAGACACATCCCAGGGGCGTTTCTGGTCCCCACCTGTCGTTTTGCTCCTCAGCATGGCTTCCTAAAAATGCTGCAGGATTTCTCAAACATGCATGAATGAATCAAAGCAAGACTTTGGGCAGGTTTTTTATGAGAGTATAACATWATAACATGMTATAAAACTCAAAAAAGTTGATTTTAYGTGATATTGCCCCTTTAAATAAATGGAATGTGAGAACCAGAAGAGCAAGTCTCCCGCTCGACRTCAGCCAGACCAGGCAACACTTGGTAAACACAGCCAGCTTCACCTTAATGATGACCGTCGAGTCACGATTCAGGTAGTAGGGAGGTCGAACAGTGGCAAGGAGCCATTGGCAGCCTCTTGCTCGCTTGGACTCTCCGAGGCACGGTTTACACTTTCAGCGCCAGCTTRATCCACGTCAGWCCGAACGAGGAGGTCAGGCCCACTGGATCTCTGGTCCAAAATAAAACCTGCTTCCCACAGGAAGTCAAGACAAAATTGCTTTGAGCTGTGAGCTCTGGTTTAGGGTGTGTGGGTCTGTCTGTGTARGTTTCCCACTGACGATAAAGGGAGAACCATACAGCGTAAGCTGGCTGATTCTCCCGGRGGAGTTCAGTTCTTGTTGTGGTGGAAGGGTGTCCGTCTCCTTCTGACTCTCRGGCGGAAACTGTGTTAGTCATTTAAAGAGGGCTTTTAGTTCCACCTTCAGAGGTTTAGATTAGAAAGGAAGATATCAGGAAGAATGTTAGTTCAGAGACTTGCCGTCGCCTTCTGACGCTAAACAAAGATTAATGCTTCTGYACAGTTGAATAAACAAAACATATCATTACTTGTTTAGTTATTCTGATTAGAACTCTTTAAAATAATGACTGAAAGAATGAATTACTTCAAACTCAAAACATTTGCAAATATGATTCAGRCAAATAAAACATTGATGTTTCATTAACTTTAAACCATAAGAATTAGTTTAGCTAAATAAGATTTTTTGCACAGAAAATCCATACACAGCTGAAATCATACTGAGGGAGAAAAGAGATCTGTCCTCTATCCTCCTGTAACTTTGATAAACATTATCTGACTATCAAACTGYGTAATAACTCTTTGTTAAGAGAAAAATTTAATCAAATWAAAAGAAGATTRTTCTGTTTATTAATTGATAAAGAAAAAGAGAATGTCTCTTTTTTAGGTTAAGGCGACCTGAGGTGGCCTAAATTCAGTCTTAAGTGGAACAGAATTTTGTCTCTTTAAAGCAGTGTTTCCCAAAGTTGGGGTCGGGACCCAAAGTGGGGTCCTAAAACATCAAGGTGGGGTCCTGAAAAGATTTTCTGAATTAATTACATTTTTGCCTTAGTTGTTACAAATGAGTGAGGTTAGTATAAATGGATAAATGTAGTATAAAAAATATTGTTACTATGCCCATGTTTTGTTGACCTGATACAAATGTTTATCATCCAAAAATAGTTGGGGGCACAGGTCTCTGCTACTGTTATTTTGTGGGTCAAAAGCTGAAAAGTTTGGGAACCACTGCACTTTGGTTCCCAAAGTTGGGCTTTGACCCAATTATGGGTCATGAAGCACCTTGGATAATCTCCAGAAATCAATTTAAAGGGTAATAAAATAATTGCTGATGTAACATTTTCMCTATAATTATTACAAAAACACAAAATAAGTAAAAATAAGTATTTATATTTGTGTACAAGCTGTTTAGATTGTCAAAAAGCCTGTGTTTTTAGGGTTATTAATGAAGYTCGTGTACTCAGACCAGTAATATTTGGGGTCACAAGTTTTTGCCATGAATATTTTGTGGGTCAGAAGATAAAAAGTTTAGGAACCACTGCTTTAAAGGACCTGGGGTCAAAGACAGTTTTCTTGATTATTCCACTCGAGGTKACCCCTGCACTTATTTCTGTTTTTATTTTATATGAAACACTCTAAAGAGATTATTTTAATGCTTTAAAGTTAGAGTTTGTAGTTTGTTTCAACGTAAACTACATTTAACTCGGATTTTTCCCRTTTTCTTGTCATTTTAAAAAGACTTCACAGCGTAGTTGATTAAATACAGGAGGAAACACGTTGACATGTTTTAGTTTGTAACAGTCAAGGTTTTTAATCTTTAAATTTGATAAAATTCTTCTTGGTGACACTTTCACTTCCTGACTTTAAAGACTGATGTGTTGTTTAGTCATGAGAAGCTGTGAAGAAATATAAACACAAAGTAAACATTTCACTGGTTTGATGAATAAATTWAATGTTGATCATCTTAAAGCTCAAATTTCATGACAAACATTTATTAAAGTAAAATTAATCAGTTTGCCTTTATTGGATAATTGGAGCAGTAAAGGTGGTTTAACGGGGTTGTGTTCTCTGGTTTCAGTGGTTTTGATTATTTAASGTTATTGGCATTTATTTTACAAATGTAAGGTTTGTGAAATGTTTAAGTACAAATATTGCCTACTGGATGTGAAGTAGTCCTGAATGAATGAATTGTTTTGAGTATAATCAKTGTGTTTTTTAATGTTTTGTTTCAGAACGAGTGAAACTGAAGCGGACCGACTATCCCCTGGTGCTCAGAATAATTCAGGGTCCGTGTGAGCAGGTCTGCAAAGTGTTCCTCATGGAGGAAGACCTGGGTGAAGAAGTCACATATGATGTAAATCTGAGCATTAACTTCTTGTTTGGAGACAAAGATGTTCCTCCCAGATACAAATAATTACGTTTGTGTGTCACCCTGTACTTGAAATYTTTGCATGCCGTACATTTGAGGTTTAACAGTAAAATATCTTTCCTTCCACCAGGTGGCGCAATATATCAAGTTTGAGATGCCCGTCCTGCAGAGTTTCATCACCAAGCTGAAGGAAGAAGAGGACAGAGAGGTGCAGAAACTCAGAAGAAGGTAGCTGAAGCTCATTAAAAATTTAAATAACATAAATAAATACAAATAGTTTACATTTTAATTTTTTTTTTTCAAAACAGTTGACACTGTTTTTTTTTGTTTGTTTTTTGTATACTTTCAGGTACAATTACCTGCGGTGTATAATTGAAAAGCAGCTTCGTTGTCTTCCAGAAGGGGCAAAATGTTTGTGATCTGTTCATGAYGAGGATTTCCTCCCAACACACCAAAATGTTACAAACTCTCACCCTCCCACCAGAGAGGCCAAGACATCACAAACGACTTTACTCTGACTATTTAATGGAAATATATCGACGAAACTTTAAAAATGCTGAATGTTTTCCTGTWAGCCGTGGTCATCAGAGGTACGACGGTTCACACCGAGCCTTTGCCCTTCCTGCTTCCTGTTTATCGTTGCACACAGACAGAACAATGTTCCTGTTTCTCTGAGCGATTTTTAACCTGTTTATTTATTAACGAGCCGATYGAACCTGTCTTCCCATTGGATAATATCCTAATCAAATTAAAGCACAAATGAAGAGTTATATATGTTTTATAAAAAAAAACAGTGCCTGTTGGAAGGTTTCTCCGAGCACAAAAACACACGAATCAGATATTTTTCATTAAATGTGTTCTAAATTTCGCATAACAAGCTGTAAAGATATGACTTTGTGGTTTAATCTTATTAACTGCAGCTTGGTGAGAATTTGAATTGGTGTTTTATGTTTGGTTTTGTCAGAATTTAACAAATAAGAAAAACTTTAATTAGTGAGCTTTGGGCTGCAGGCAGATTTAATCATATTTGGACAGATGTAGGTCTGCAGCTTGATACAGTTTAATCCTTTGTTTTGTTCGACGCATTATTGTCTCAGTTTAACATTGACATCTGAACTCCACCCTCAGCACGTTTCATTTATACTGACTGCCTGCTTTGTTTTGYCTTTTACAACATGCTGAAGAAATCAATGCTTTAAAATGTGAAGAACTCACTTGGAAAATGAAGTTTTTTTATACAGTGATTGTTATTTAATAAAAAAAAAGTAAAGTATGTAAACATTGTATATTTTTATCTCCTTTTCTGTTGTGGTTACTTATATAAAAAAAATTCCACAGATGTTAAGAACAAAACTACAGGAATCAGTGGAAGCTTTAGAAGAGCTCGTTAGGCTCTGGTTTGTTCTCGGAGTTGGAGGTTAAATAATTCAGACAAAGTTAGAAACACAGATGCGACCTGACTTACACCCGCAGGTATTTAAGTGTGATGCAGCAGCCTCAGCAGCTTAGCTCGGCCAATCGGAAGCTGTGAAACCAGCCCACCTGATGGAGATTTGAGGATAACGAGACGGCCGTGATARAAACTTTCCTACGGTCAGAGGAGCGACGTCTCCAGACACCTTGTCGAGGACGAAGGTCATCTGAACCACTGAMAGTTTTGTTTTCCTCACAGCTGCTCAGCAGGTGAGATTAAACACGTTTCTAAAGATGACTGTTTATACTGATTATGTATATTTTATATTTAATTAGRCAAAATAATGTTTATTCTGCTTTTAGTTTTTAAATTCTACAATTTATTAGGCTACAAATGTGTCAGAATGAACCTTTTTTTTTTTGTTAAATCTGGACAGTCGTGTAATCCGAGTGTCAGAGGAAATGTAAGTGAGCCGGTGTAATTAAAGCTTAATTACATAGTAGGACAAATTAAGAGTGYGAGCATTTATATGTTCAGCAGTGGCTCAATGCATACAGGCTGTTTGTTTGAAGCACATTAATATTGAATTTATTCATCGCTCTTGAATTTTACATGTWTGTGAAATATTTTAAACAAAACATCCATATTTGTTTGTTAAAGAAGCCCTTAGATTTCAGACTACTTTTTGTTTGTTTGTTTGCCTGTTTTAGACCAAAGTCATGTTTACCAGTTTTTCTTTTTCCTTCTGGTTACACAAGCTRCGGAGCACTCATGTTTGTTTGTCCAGCCGTTCTTGTCCACAAATCCAGAACCAGTTCTAATCTGCTTGATCCTAATTAAAGGGACATGGAGATTATGAGAGCTATCTGATCCCATGYCGGATGCATTGTTAGTTTTGCTGCGCTGCTTGCGTAAGGCGTGTTTTTCAAAGCTGGATTAAGTCCATCTTTACTGTTCTTAATATAACACTAATGTAAAAATACCAGAGACTAAAGCTGCACTGAGCACCAAATAATCATTCAATGAAMCTGTGATGCAACAAAAACAAACTCTTTCTTTACGTTATCAATTTTTGAGCACATATGTACTTTTTTTAGCTAATGTATTTTTTTTTACTTGCACATTTAGGTTTAAGGTAGGAATTTTTGTGTTTTTTATATCAAATAATGTGTTTTTATGTTTAACTGTAAAGCAAAAGATAATATGCACCTGAATATTAAGTTCTTCTTCCACCTGTTGCTCATATATTTACAGGTAAAAGTCATGTTGGGCCTGCAGAAGCTTCCCATTGCAGCAGTTTTCTGTTTCCTTCTTCTTTGCACCTTGTTCCCCAGCTCTGAGGCCCGCCGTGGAGGAGGTGGGTTTGGTCGAGGAGGTGGGTTTGGTCGAGGAGGAGGCGGAGGATACAGCCGGGGGTGGAGTGGTCAGTCCTACAGGCCTGCACCTGTTCAGAGAAGTGGCCCCAGCGCAGCGAAGGTGGCCGGGGCGGCTGCTGCAGGAGCTATTGGAGGGTCGATGATTGGGTCTGCACTGAGCCGCCCAGGCTACGGAGGGTATGGAGGGTATGGGTATGGAGGGTATGGAGGTTATGGGGGATATGGAGGATATGGACCAGGGTATGGTCCACCACGATACCTAGGTGGATATGGCCCAAGGCCAGGCTACGAGCCCGAGGGCTCCGGAGACATGGAGTACTACACCGCAGCCTCCAGTGGGCCCATCTACAACAGCATCGTGGTCGTCATTGGGTTCCTCGTGTCTCTGCTCTGGGTGGCAGTCRTGTAGAGCTGGAGGCAAACCAGTTCCCAGAAATCCCAAAATAACCCATATAAACTCCTCATTTCAGAGCAGGTGTTGTACGTAATTCAGTTCCCCTGTGAAAATCTGTTCCCCCTGTGTTGGGAGCACCTCCCTCATAACATTTAGGATGCCTGGACCAGAGATTCTAAGACGGGTCTACAACCTTTACGATCAAAAGAGCCATTTCTGCTCCTTGTCTCCATATTAAAATGTGTCGGGAGCCACAAAACAAGCCACAACTGTGATTATCAACTGGTGGTCTGTGGGCCTTTTCAAGGCCTTTTTGTTGTTATTATTATTATATTATTTAATTACACATCGGGACAAATGTAAAGATCATATTCATCACGTAAACAAGAAAAATACTGTATATAGTTTTTACCGAATTTCACAAAAACTAGTACAACTGAATTATTAATTTTTTTTATTCCAATTGTTATGTAGTCTTCAAATTATTTGAATGTAATTCTGATGGATTTGAGAGAACAATCATAGAAGGTAACTGGAATATTTAGTTAACAGGTTAGCATGAGCTAACATGTTTTATTTTTTTGTATTAGTAGTATGGATCACATATTTGCACACAAATTTATTACTGTTTTGGGTATAAAAAAATAAAAAATATTCTGTTATGTTTGGTCACATTTTCAAAGAGCCACTGCAGAGGGAGCAAAGAGCCACATGTGGCCCCAAAGCTGCAGGTTGCAGACCCCTGCTCTAAGGTTAACCACTAGGGGGAACATTTTCACAGGGGAACTGAATGTCGCACATCACCTGTTCTGACCTAAATAATTTAAGATTTTAACAACCTTCATTAAGAACTGCAAGAAGAAAAAAGCAACAYGAAGCTCCACCGATCAGCTAAAATCCACATAAGAAACTTTTCAAACATCGTTTGATTTTATAAATATTTGCACTTCTTCATTTCTCCATAAATGACGCCGCTGATTTTGTATCTTCAGTAATGATGATTTTATTGATTTTGACAAATCATAAAAGCACCTTTTTATGAAACTATAGATTTACTTTATGTTAGGAGTTAAACACAATTTATTCCATTACTTATTTCCTTCAGAYAAGGTCTGCATTTGTTTACGCTATATATTTTTAATACTAAATGTATATTTTAATTATATGGTTTGCATGAAGAAATTAATTTACATTTTTGTCAACAAACTATTTTGAATGACTAGAAGTGTCAAACTTGTTCTGTATTTATGAAATGTATGTAATAAAGTTTATTTGTGTTTAATAAAAAATATATTTGTGTTGAACTTGACTCTCTACAAATAAGCAGAGGATGTCAACTATATTTGGCCACTCTAAGAACTCATTAAACCCTGGAAAAAGTAAAATAAAATAAATAAAAAATTCAAGTTTTTATAAATCATACATAAACAAAAGTGGGGTAATAAGTTTTATTAGGTTTGTAAGAGAGGAAAATACCCCTGATCAGGTTTGGTTTGAGCTTACCTACAAGCTTTATGTGTTTATTGTAACAGCTGAAACATTTCACATAACATTAAACTGACCAAACACACAAATACAAGAAGTCTTTTTCACATCACTGATTGTCCCAATGGAATAAAAGTTACAAATACTTACTTTTTTTTTCTTTTAAAAAGAAGCACATTTTTTATAGTTAAGTCTCCAGAAAGTGCCTCTGGAGAGTCATCAGCAATGTTTGAACAAAGTGAATCTACTGCAGCATAAATAAACCCAATWATGGGAACACATTCACTTGGGTTTTTACAATATCTTCACTTTCAGATGTAAGGGATCTTAGAAGCGTCTATAATTCAGGAGAGATGTTGAAGAAACAGACGTATCATGAAATAAAGGCAGAGCACACAAAATATTACATTTAAAACATTAAGAAGAGGGTGTGTACGAGAATAACGGCATGCTTGAAGTTTTCCAAATAAAGTTTGAACCAATGATTGTTTTGCTTTGAGTTTTTGTGTATTTTTATTTAAACAGAAGAACAACAACTCAATGATTAGCACTGATGCCTCGCAGCAAGAAGGTCCAGGGTTTCGAAGAATAGAATAGAATAGAATAGAATAGAAACAGCCTTTATTGTCCCGCAGAGGGGAAATTCAGGTGTAACAGCAGCAGCAGATACATCAATCCACAAAACAATATATAGCTACAAAACAGTAGCGATAACAATAKAATTAAAATAAATAAATAAAATTTTAAAAACCCGGTTCGGACCTGGGATCTTTCTGTGCAAAGTTTGCATGTTCTCCTTGTGCTTGCTTTTCTCCGGGTACTCTGGTTTCCCCCACAGCACATAAATATTTACAATAGGTTGCCTTCAGGCCCAGGCCACCCTTGCAAAAGAGATCTGTGATCTAAATGGGATTTGATTGATTAAATAACAGTAAAATAAATAATCAGCAAAAAAATCGGGTTCATTACAAATGTTCCTGTTTTCAGCACTCTGTCTGTAGAGCAGACAGAGTGCTAAAAAAGAGACGTAAGTGAGAAATCAAAAGATGAGTCATTTGATCACATTAATCATCAGAGCTTTTGTTTCTGCCCTGAAACAGACTAAATAATACTCAAAGTGCCACTTAATGTTTTGTTTTAAAGTATAAAATCTAAAAACACTTACATTCTGGATTTATATAAGTGCACATTGGCTATCAGTTTGCAAAAGTCACTTTAACAAACTGAATTTGAAAAACATGTTTTTCTTCTTTGCTTTAAATTCTGACAAATCTTTCGTGTAAATGTGCTCGCTGGGGCGACTCCTGAAGAGGGGAACAGCCAAAAGATAAGCCACAACATCTATATTCCACAAATACACATTTTGTCACGGTAGTTCGGCGGTCAGTGCCTCGGTCTCGTAATCCTAAAGCTACAGGTCCAGGCACAGGTTATATCAGGAAGTGCATCCAACGTAAAGCAATTACCAAATCTTTAGTGCAAGCTTTTATCACTGTGGAGACGGAAGCGACTGAAAGAAAACCTTCTATAAACACAATTTTTTTTTCATATCTGAACCAAGGTAATGCGGTTCGGCGAAGATATCGAGTATCTGGATGAACTGTGTTGTTTTRTTTTCCTGACTGCTGAAATTATTTAAGAAGATAAATCTGAGCAATTTATTCTGTTTATTCAATTATTTGTGTATGTAGCATTTGCAGCCTTTTGGCAACATTTGGTAATAATCACACTAGATAGCAGGAATAGTAAGTAGTATGTTTAGTTTAATAAGTGTGCTGAGTATAAATAGTAATCAGTTTACTTTCACCCAACACTTAAAAGCAGTTGCCAAGCTTTTATTTTCTGAACTCCAATAGAACTGAATTTAGTGTTTGTTTTAAAAACAGTGTGATTTAGACCACAAAGATGTGGAAACCCTGTAAAAAAAAAAAGCGTCGATATTCCATGGTTCTCCTCTAAATGCTTTACATTATTCATTCTGTGGCAACACATTCAATACCTCAGCAAATGAATGTCTCATTGCACCAGCATTAATATGTTRTTAATTAAAACCACAGAAATCACAGATAAAAGCCAATGAACACTCATCTTCAGCTCCTGAGCTCCTCCAGTCTGTTTCACTAAATACCTCTCAGAGTAAACCATGTAGGCCTGTAAGCATTTCCTGGCCTTAACCTGCTCGATCAGTGCCGGGTAGCCAATCTCCACGATGCTGACTGTATCGTTATCTTCATCGCTGTCACCAGAACCGGTTTTAGGCTGATTTAAAGGGCGGAGAGTTGAAGGATCAGGGGTGTTCAAGTTCTTGTCAGTGTTGGTTTTGGTGCTGGTAGCTGGTTTGGTTCTTGAATTCTGACTGACTGTAGGTAGAATGTCCGTATTTTTCATGCACAAGTCCATGTAGCTGTTATAGTCTTGTGGGGGTGGATTGAACTTGTAGTCTCTGCTGTAGTCGTTGGTGTCGGTGGAGTGAGCACCATACTTCCTGTACATGTAGTGGTTGTAGTAATACTCCTCCTGGGGGTTGTGGAAGTGGAAATGAGGCCGGGGGAACCTTCCTAACCCGTAGCCCAGAGCCATCCCTGCCATGGCCCCTCCGGCTGCTGCCATTACTGCGTTGCGTCCAAACCCCTTGGATCTGGCACCAGGATGCATACCCATAGCGTGGACTGACTGGGAAAATGGAGAACCACCCCTGACGTTATAACCTCCATAACCAAAGCTACCACCATAACGAGGGCTCAGGATTCTGTTGTTTGGGTTGTAGTTCATGTATCCACCTGGGTATCCTCCATACTGTCCTCCAAGAGGGGATGCTGTTCCGGGAAAACGGTTGTAGTAACCTCCACCCTTCGTCCTGGGGTAACGATCTTGTGAAGGGTGGCCTCCTTGGTTTTTTCCTTGCTGCTTACCACCCTGAGAAGTCGAGCCCTGGTTGTTCTTGCTTGCTTTATTGGTGTTGCCACGATTAGATGTGGAGAATGTTTTAGAGCTGAAACCTCTCCCAAACCCTCCTCTCCCTCCTCCCCCTCCTCCTTTGGCCAGCAGAAAAGGGGTGTGAAACAAAAGAAGTAACATACACAGGACAGGTAAAGACTTCATATTCATCTTCACCCTTTGAGAAGGACGACATGAAGAAGTTATCAGAAAGTGATATTCAGACAGCATCATTTTACACCTGACAACAGACGATGCAAAATTACAGAAGCAAAACGAGATTTTTATTGTCGTACTGGAGCAACTGTTTTGTCTACAGGGCTCCACTGTTTTACTGCATCTTCCATAAATTTACCTCAAACCTAAACGTGACTATAATTTTCCAATACTCTTGATTCACTCCATGGTTTCAACTCAAACCTGATGGTCTAAAGATGGCTGTGTGGTCAGGCTGAAATAGAACAGTAAACTTTGAATCTTGGTATTATTGCAGCAAGTGAAAACCTAGATTTCCCATTTGGTTGTAATGAATGGTTGCCTGGTTATTTCACTTGTACTGGTGAAGCAGATGTGGAAAGATGTTATATTAATTGAAAAGGGGATGGATTTTTTGCCCAGGATGATTGATTATGTGACATTTAGTGGCAAACTTGGAGATTACTTCCCACCAAACTCTCATCTTTTACAAGATTCAACAAATAATGGTAAATACCTGCACTAAAGCACTTATTTATTTAGCTATTTCTACAGGCTTGTATGGAAATATGACAGAACGTATGTAAAAGAAGCTGCAGTCTTTTTAGACATGTAAATAAAATAAAATAAAATAAAAATAAAAACTCAGAAGATAATTGACTGGGCCTGGATGAAAACAGTGTTTCTTTTATAACTGTCCAATAAGACTTTGGCATTTCTTACTGGGGAACCAAAAAACATGTAATTACTCTGTTTTATCATTAAACAAGTATTAGGTCAGTTAAGCGGCTTATACAAAACCTATTTCTATTGAAGTGTTCAAATAAAAGAGCAGGACAGAGAAGTTTTTTTAAAAGTTGCCAATGTTGAAAGAAAAACTTCAGAATCTGAAAGTCTTTTTGCTCAATTAAACTATAAAAACTGACAAATGATACTGGATCCTAAATACATATTTTACAGTGCCCTCATGCTTTTTTGTAATGATATATGAAACAATAAATCAATTTAAAGTCTCCACATTTTTGCCAACCACTGAAACATGACTTTGGAAATAAAAACTCCAAAAACTGAATCAAAAATTTGGATGTTTTTTTGTTGACGTGATTGTTGCTCACAGCMGATTTGACACTTTTGTTGCTTGCTGGTTTAGAGGTATTAGATATGGTAAAATTGCTGATTGAATAAGAGGATTTTAGTCTATTCACTCCATAACTCAGGCGCCTAGGCGCCCAGCCTATAACTCAATAAAACGGACCAGATAATGCTAYCATTTGGGGGATGCATGAAGCACAGTAAAACAGTGTTACATTATTTTGTTTAACTTTAAAACACCCACTTTTTTCCCTTCAGGCTTTGTCTTATCAGCCTCATTTTGCCTTCACAATACCACCASACCTAATCAAGCTCTAGAAACATCAAAATGTTAGGATTAAGAAGGGTTTGAACGCCAAATGCAGGACTGAGTGATGGTGTCAAAAAAAGGTTTCATTAAACAAAAACAAAGTGCTGGCGTGGCGGCAAATGTATTAAACAGGTTTCTTGGACTTGGCATGTGACGACACATCAACAGTAAACAACAAAGCTCTGACACAGACTGAAGACAGAGAACAGAATGTAAAGGAGAACTTAATGAGCAAAGACAAGAAACACCTGGGAATGAAACATGAGCAACAGGTGAGAGTGGGCGGGGCTGGAGCAAAGACAGGCAGGAGGACGAAAACAGAGAAAGACGAGGCAGGAAACCAGAGTGGAACCAAAATAACACATGAACACATGCCATAAATGATTTAAACACAGTCCGATTTGCAGACATTGAGCTGAATTTAATGTGGCAGGAGCTGAGCGTCATCGCAATCCACAAGTGCTAACAGATGACAGGTCTCACAGCATCCTGATGTGGATCATTTTTATTTTTAAGCTATAACCAAAAAGGYTAAAACTATCCTTTTTCAAGACAAGATGAAAGGTGTTTCTTTAAGACTGAATTTCAAGCCTGCAATAATTAAAATAAAATAAAAAATTTCTGTATCATATAAATACATCCATGTACAATTTGAATCACTTTATGGGCCATATACTCTTTAAATTGTCATTTTAAAACTTCCACTATTAATTAGCRCAGTCAGGTTTGCAATTTTTAAACTCCCCTCCTGCTTCTCTTTTATACAAAAGGAGGCTTTATTCATTTATTTACATGACAAGGAACTCTGTTTTCTTTCAGTTGAGGTTTACTCATTCGTGTGTAGTCAATTTTTTTTCTCTCCTTTATCTTAAATCATAGAACATGCTGACTACTGTCTCCAGATTATTGTTTGAATTATTAGGGAATCTGTTTATAAACACCTTGTGTTGTTTGGGTTCAGGCTTATGCGGTTTGCTTGCTTTCAGTGAAATGTGTAAAACAATTTAAAAAAAACAGAGCAATAGAATATAGCTCTGAGCTATAAAATATAGAGCTATATAGAATATAGTTCATATWGAGCTATATGAACACAACCATAAGGAGAATGTAGACAAGCAGGAAAAGGTGTGGCAACAACACCACACACACCCAGAGRGGACGTAAGCATCTCCTGGTGAACTGAATGGGGAAAAAAATAGGTTTTTTTTTTTTTCAACAGTTACCTGACCTTCTGACATGCACCGTTGTCGTTAGCATCTTTTGCTATCTACTCACAAATGATGGTTTGGCGACGTTTTATTTTCTAAATAAAAACCAATCTGRGGACATTTAACACAGTCTTACCTTTACTGGTGACTGTTCGGTTTCCTTTTTATCGTCCCACGTTTCCTCTTACAGACTCCGTTTCAGTGTTTTTGCCTCATTAATCTGAACGATCAAGCCGTCTGGAAATGATGTTTTGGTTTTTTTGTTTTATGAGTGACGTAAAGCCTCGCGCGCGAGAGAGAGAGAAGAGTGTGGGTCGCCTAGAGACGCGATGGGGGCGGGGCTTAACCTGATGCATTTTCCAATATCCTGAGCACGAGAGGAAGAGGAGCTGGGGGCGGGGTCGAGAATGGCGAATTATTAATGACTGTCTCCATTTTACACCACATTAAAACACACTTTAGAAGACATAATAAAGTTGTACTTACTAAAACATATAGAAAATGATCAAACAGTAATTATTAGATTGTGACAACACCACAAGACCACCTAATTAAACATCTGCAATATATTCAGGAAAATTTTATAACTATTTATCTTTTTATAAAGGTTATATACCTTTTGTTGTTTCATTGTTCAATTTATTCAGATAAAATGTGTCAATATTTGATCATAAAATTATGTATTTGAATGAAACAATGTTGCATCATCATCTATTAAATAAATCGAGGAACAATAGGTATCTAGTTGGCATATGTCTGTTTTTGTATTAAATATACTTAAAATATTAAAAGTTAGCTAATATTTAAAACAGTGTTGTTAAAAATGTTATCTAGCTTATTTCAATGTATGAACATATGAGAGTTTCATGTTAATCATTTTTGTTTTTGTAAGGTTCTGAGTCAATATCAAATACACAAAAGTGATATATATCGTATTCAGCTTAAAGAAGTCCTGCTTTTTAAGAGTACCAGTCAACCCCTTCTGGRATGTTTAGTAACTTTTCTATCTTAGAAAGCTTTTTTGTTGTGGAAAAAATAAAAATACATATTGGACTTGAACAAAAACACTTGATAACTCACAATAAAAAAGTTTTAGAATGGCACATCTTTGTCTAAGTCTAGTTTTTTAAGTGATTGTTGTAATGTCATTTTAAAGTGATATGACCTTTTTATGCAGACATATACCTCTCAGCCATTACACAGAGAGAAAAGCTCTCTGTGTTGCAGCGTAACACACAAGCAAAACCGCTTTAATGAGCTTAGATGAAAAAAACTTGTCTGTGGGTGCTTTTAAGAGCTTTTCTCAATAGATCATGGTGTACCGGAACATTCTTATGCTTTATAAACTGCTGCAGTTATTAGGCAGTAAATACAGTCATCTTGATCTCTTTGAATAACAAGKGCAGTAATAAAACATCAATGTTAATCAGTTAAAATGAGCCAGTRTTTAAAATTTTATATGTTGCAGTTTTGGCAAATTTCATGACATTACAGAATACACCTCATTCYTCTTCTGCACTTTTCTTTTGACTCCTTCACATAACAATTTGAATCAGGACTTAGACACCTTCTGGCTGTCTCAGTGTGATTTTTGAACGGGCCAACATGGCTAGSGAAGTCAAAGTCAATCCACACCTGATGCTCCTTTGTTCAGCGAGGTACAGTAGTAACAGAGCCGAAATGGCCAACGTGTGAAAAGGGAAGTCAGCTTTGTGGCTTAATACAGTTGTAAAGTGATGGCATGCAGCTGAGGGATTAAACAACAACTAACAGATTTATTACAGAGAGAATAATGATAAAGCACAGCAACTTTGCATTTAGCTTAAAAATAGTTAACCACAAAGAAAATGTCTAAATTGAGTTCAAAATAAAAGTAAAGACAAAAGTGGATAGTTTTTCATAAGGAATAAATGCATTGTTTTTCCTAAATGATTGGTTTATATGGTTTCTTTTTTTTTTTTTTCAAATTATATTGTTTTAAAGTGTAGTTTCCTCAAAGGATTTCTTGAGTTGACAATCTCATTTTGTTTGTTTGATGTCTCAGAAGTGTAACCTTGGTTCTGGCAGCGAGGCAACAAAAATGAGCAGGATTTTCTCATTGTTTGACTTGTGACAGACCAACTCATGTTAGCAATACAAGAAGCCAATAATAATGTGAAGTTTCTCTACATTTTATGCATTTATAWATTAGCAACCTTTTCGTAGATTGATGTCATTCAGGATTTTGTGTTGCYGATTTAATAAAATATAAACAACCAGAAGTGCAAATAAAATGTTTCCCACAGCAACCGTGTTTTCTGTGCATGACAGTCATATCAGATTTTAGTTTATTTAGATCAGTTTTTCCAAGCTGGAACTCTAACCTGGGAGTCACAATTTGAAAATGAGAAAATTCCATKTACAAATGTAATGTAGCATTAGTTCAGCAGCATTAGCATCAGTGTTGTGGTGAGAACAGACAAAAGGCCCGTATTCAGTTCAGGTAACCCACTGTGCGGGTGAACTGTTGGCGGGGTCTTTTTCTTTAAATGTCTATCAGCATAAACTATGAAGAGCTCAGTACATCTCTTCACCTTCATCTGTTTGATCAGTGCTGGGTAGCCAATTTCCACAATGCTGACTGTGTCGTCCTCATCGTCAGTTCTGAGAATCCGTGTAGGAGATGGGGTTGTAGCTTTGACCTCAGATTTGTTCAGATGTTCAGGAGTTGAAGCAGTTGAGAAGCTTCCTGCTTTGGTGTCGCTGCTCGCATTGATGCCGCTCGCGTTGATGCCGCTGCTCGCGTTGATGCCGCTGCTCGCGTTGATGCCGCTGCTCGCGTTGATGCCGCTGCTCGTGTTGATGCCGCTGCTCGTGTTGATGCCGCTGCTCGCGTTGGCGCCGTTGCTTGCATTGACGCCGTTGCTTGAATTTATGGTATTTACGGAGGCAATTGTGATTTTAGCCGCTTTTGGTTTTTGATTTTCTTCCGAAAGAAGATCTGTTCTCTTCAAACAGGACTCCATGAATTTGTCGAAGGCATCCGGTGGCTGACTATATTGGTAGTCTCTGCTGTAGTCATTCTTGTCGTTGGACTTCATACCGTATTTCCTGTACATGTAGTAGTTGTAATAATACTCCTCCTGGGGGTTGTGGAAGTGGAAATGAGGTCGAGGGAACCTTCCTAACCCATAGCCCAGAGCCATTCCTGCCATAGCCCCTCCAGCTGCTGCCATTACTGCGCTGCGTCCAAAACCTTTGGACTTAGAAGAGGGCTCATATCCCATTGCCCCTACYGAGTGGGAGAAGGGAGAACCTCCTGCTCCTCCATAGCCCCCATATCCAAAACTGCCACCATAGTGAGGGCTCAAGATTTTGTTGTTTGGGTTGTAGTTGATGTAACTACCGGGATAWTTTCCATAGCCTCCATATGCAGGTCCTTGGGCTGGGTAACTACCAGCTGGATACCCTGAGTACTGAGGGTAGCCTCTTTGATTGGGGTAACTTCCAGGTTGTCCTGGATATTGAGGGTACCCTCCTGCTGGCTGTTGAGGGTAGCCTCTTTGATTGGGGTAACCTCCAGGTTGTCCTGGATATTGAGGGTACCCTCCTGCTGGCTGTTGAGGGTAGCCTCTTTGATTGGGGTAACTTCCAGGTTGTCCTGGAAATTGAGGGTACCCTCCTGCTGGCTGTTGAGGGTAG